TCTCCCAAACAGAAAGATGATATGGTAAGTTAGTGCTACAAGTGGTAGCGTGGCTTACTCTGTGGCATATCCTAGACGTTCAGCCAATGGTGTAATGCCTACTAAGGTCAGCAAGAACACCCACCCCTGAATCACAGCAAGAATTAATTCTTGAGATTAAACACTTAGACATGAAAAATGAAACAACTAGTATTAGTAATAATTTACCTTACTATCTATCATGTAGTGCACCAATATGGCTAGAGGACCGAAAGGTAATAACAGATTGAGTTTGTTACAAAAAATCACGATCTTTATACTATTGAGCATGGTGTTCTTTGGCGCTTTAGGCGTGTGCTGCGCGAAACTTGTAGAAAGTGATCCTTGCTCCATTAGAGAAACTTCTTTAGTTTGCGCAGCATCTTCTTCTTGTCTAAATAGGCTTTTGTGCTCAAGTTCATTAACCGACCCCATCTGTTACATAAAAGACCTTTTTCATTAATCCCAAAACCAGCAGAGGAACTCAGATAATATATGTTCGAATGGTCTGGCTATCCAGAACTTACTTCAACTTGTGCTTCGATAAGAACTGGCACTTTACAACAACTCATACCCGAGTGCTACCAACACATGGACCAAAGATAAGCTACAGCGTCCGCTTCTGCTGCAACCTGGAGAGAGGGAGACTTCTTGTATGAGAGATTATAAGGTATAACCAAATCCGCAATTAAACTAACAGTCTGAGCCTTTTCTGGAAAGCTTAACAAATTAGGGAAATAGTCACTTGTTACTTTGCATTAGGGAAACATTCATAAACAAGCACGGCATATCACACGAGTGGAGAAACAACTACATTGGCCAGCATAGAGTTATAACCCTCAAGTGTTTTAGAAAAAGACTGAATCCAAAATCAAAAGTGGCTAAGCAAATCGCTTCCACACACCAAAACGAAGGGAACAGCAAGTTTATCGAGTCAAACGTTAGTCTTTCGATTAAAATATAGCTAAACCCTAATCTACAAGAGCCCTTTTGAAACCGAAATCATATAAATCGGAGACTTGGTTTAAGGAAAAAAAGAAAGACGGCAACTTTACCTTTGCAGTCAACGACGAAGTCAGAGAAGAAGAAGAAGAACGAAACAAATTGCAGAAACCTAATCGAGCATAACTCGGATACGAAACAGAAAGGAGTTTGAGGTTTCTACTTGTTATTCTTCTGTTTGGTTTGTGATCTGTTGGTGGAGACAACGCACGCAGAGTAATATGAATCCGATTGGTATGGAAATAATAGAATAGTTGAGAGACGAGATTTGTGATCTGGAATAGAAGACAATCCCCTTTAGATCTCAGATTGTCTCTCAGTAGAGAAGCGCGAGAGCGAGGAAGTTTCGTTCTTGGTTGAATTGTTGTTTCATCATCAGTTGAACCTTTTTTTTTTTTTTTTTTTTTTTTGGTCAAACATCAGTTGAACTTAATATTAACTTTTTTTCCTTTTTTTTCTTAAAACGTAAATAGAAGAAGAAGACACACGGAGAGAGAGAGAGAGAGAGACCCAAATAACGGCGCCGTTTTGCTTATTTTTACGACAGTCCCTCTCAAGAAGAGATCTAATAAGCCTCTTTTGTCCTAAAATTCCTACATGAATCTTTTATATCAGTTTTGCCTTAAGAAAAGAATCTTTATATCAGTAAATTGCGATTTAATTTAACTAACCACAGCATTTTTTAATCATTTTTAGTTGTTTGGTACTCATAGTTTTCGAATATCTGAACAAATCAAAAGTTCTCAGTTCGTATTTTGAAGTTTTTAATATCAAAAACACATGAATTTATTAAAAATGGAACGTTAAAGAAAAAGAGAGAAAAAATTAGTGATGGTCCATATCCATCATTATGGAGGAGGAGTTGATAATTCTCCCCGTTTAATGGAGACTGGTGATCGAGTTTCAACCACTCACTTCTTATACATATATAATTCAACAACTTATATATGTATCACATATACAAAAATGAAATGTGATCTTCGATAGCAGTGATAATTTACATGTATTATTAGGCTTATTTTATCTTAGTTTGGATCATAGCAAAATAAGGATTATATGTAGTTGATGCAAGTCCCCAATGAAATAACTTATAAACACTATAAGTTTCAACAATTTTCTCTTCATATTTGATTCCATAATTGACGATGTTTAAACACACATTGAAAGAACCAACTCCTAAGGATTAAGGAATATCAAGATGTCTTACGAATTACTCTCATCAATTCAATAGTTTAAAACAGTGGAGGAGAGAGATCTGGACCTAATGAGTAGTTTATTGGGCCGTAAGGTGACTGTGCTCAAGATATGGATCCAATATAACTAAGCTCACTATAGCAATTAGCCCAATTCCCGATAACAAAGTAAACAAATTATGCTACATACATTATTAGCCTTCTTCTAAAGAAAGATTCGTATCATTATAATGAATCGATCATAAAAACCAATTTATTTATAAAGAAGTTGAGAAGTACTTATCAGTTAAGCACATGGCAGCCAGGTAGCTTCAAACCGACTTGTCGCTCTATTATACGCATTGTCATGAGTTTGCTAATTTACGCTGTTGTTTTGATTATTATTTTTGTTAATCGAATAACTCCTATTGTATTACTATAATCTTAGATAATGATGATTAGTTTTAATAAGCAGCGTACCGTGGCTCCAATAGATCAGCTAACAGAAATCAAGAGAGTTGCTACTTGCTATAGAGCCAAAAATGTAAATATCCTCATATATATAAGAAATATGACCACAAGACAATAAACTATATATACAATTGACAAAAAAAAAAAAGAAGAAGCAAACAAAGATTAATGTTTTTGGCTCTAGTTGCTTGTGGACCTGTGGTTAATTTCTTTTTGTGTGGTGGTGCACTGCTTTGTATGATGATAACGAAATTTACACTGTTTTCTTTTGAAAAATGATTAAGTGGATGCTTTAGAAATTAGATTGCAAGAAAACATAAATATTAGTAGATGAGTACTATAGAGTAAGAGATGGTAGCAACAGAAGAAGAAAAAAAACACTGGGAAAGAAGCAAAGAAGAGATATTAATGTTTGTGGAAGTTAAAGTAGTAGACACAGAACATGAGTCTCCCCACCACACACCAAGTTCCCCCAACCAAAGAAAGTAGTCCCCACCAATTTTAAAACTACACAACTTGATTAAATCAGCATATAATAATTGAAACGTTAATTATTATTGCGAGATCACACTCATGATAAAATAACTACCAAAGGTAAAAAAGAAAAAAATAATAATAATCACATTCATTTCAATATGCTAGTAATAAAATAGCATATGATAACATGCTTATTAGTTATTAGTTATCACTATCAACCACAGTCTAGAAGCTTTTATACCGAGACACTCATTATGAATAAGCAAAGTCAAATTTCATTCTAGAAGCCTTTTGATAAAAATAACTAACAAAGTTCGTTTTCCCTTAACATTTTTTTGTGTTTTTTTTAATGTTATAGGTTAATTTCAATTATAAACCACTCCATGGTGGGTTTTGATACATTAATTATTGTGTTGGTCAATAACAAAGTATGTACTCACAAAAAAAAAAAAAGAGGAGAGTCTATTTATGGGTCGTTCATCTTATCCAATCAAAAACTTGAGAATGAGGTTTGGACGACTAATATAATCCAACAGGACCATTTGAAATAAAAGATGGTCATGGTGTTGATGGTGTTGTTTACGCACAAAATCGTATTACTGTACTCTCTTATACAGACAGACAGGTAAAGACTAGTACAGTATGTTTTTTGAGTTAGGGATGTCTTCTAGAAGTGTTGTGTTGCTTACTTATCCTATCTCCGTATCCTCACCGCCACGTCCCCCGCAGAGACACTTTCTTTTTGTCTCTCTCTCTCTCTCTTTTTTTTTATTTTTTTTTTATTTTACGTAATGAATATTCAGCTGATAATGACAACAACAACAACAACAAAAAAAAGCTTCTAGAAGAAAGGCTTTGATATTTATTAGTCGACGAGTTTACTTTTCTTTTTCTTTTTGTTTGTCTTGTGTTGTGAGTTGTGACGGTACCCATTGTTGGGATCTCTTAATTAATTCTCAGCCGTTGATCTGCTGCTGCTTGTAGGGACGATTCCTTCTAGAAGCTCTCTTTATTTTTTTTTCCTGAATCGAATATATTCTGCAAAGTAATAATAGTATAATATATGAATTGGAGATGACATTATTAAACATCTAAAAATGTACCATTTCAAACACTATCGGACAGATTTAAATTAAAAATTATTGGTTTCAGTTGACTGTTCAAAAAATACATCCTGGAGTTTAAGTATTTAGTTATCGGAAAATAAAAATCATATAAACATGTATAATGATGGTTGACAAAATAAAAAAATTGTATAATGATGAATCGAGCAACTAATTATTTTATTCTCTACAAATAAAAAAAAAATAAAAAAAGAAGCAAACGATTCTTAGAAATTACAGCTGGATGACATGTCATCAGTTCAATCTTTTAGTGTAAAAAAAAAGGTTAAGCCGAGCCGAGCCGGAAGAAAGGATTTCTAGAAGGCGAATCTTTGAAGTTTGGATGACACGTCATATCCTCCTCCTCCTCCTTCCATAGAATTTATAAAACTGGTGACTGCCACTTCCCACGGGTTTTACCTTTTTTTTTTTTTTGCCTTCATTTTCGCTCCTTCTAATTTACTATTTATTTTCATTTTAACCACACACAAAAAAAACAGTGAATTTTCTTACTTTAAGGTTTTTAACAAAAATAAATTAAATTAGAAATAAGTAGAAGAAGAACTAAATAGCTATTCTTCTTCTTTTTTTTTTGTTAAAGAAAATAGATATTCTTTTTCCTTTAATTAAATAATCAAAAATAGCTAAAAATGAACAAACGCGGATTCTAAAACCCAATCCAATAAAAATAAGTTATATATTAAAAAATAATTAAAAAGGTTACCAAATTATTAAAAAAGAAGAAGTTAACAATAATAATGGAGATTTGGAGGTCTTTATATAGCCTTTCTCAATCCCACCACTCTCACCTTTTGTGATTCAACTTCTCTCTCATTTTTCTCTTACTTATTTACAACATCTCTTCCGAATTTGCCCCTCCTACGGTTTTTCTAATTTTAATCCCTCTGAAAATGGCCGCGACCCTAGTTTACTCCGCCGGACCTTTCTCACCGCTTCTTCCTCACCCCAAGTCTACCAGATCATCATTTAACGGAACCGCGCGTTTTCCCACCGGAGCTCCGTCGTTTAAGGCTTCTGCTCAGACGCTTAACGCCGAGCCGGTTCTAACGGAATCCGTTCGTCGGCGAGTTTCGAGCCTCTACGAATTACTGAAAGTGAACGAAACGGCTTCTCTGCCGGAGATCAAGACGGCCTACAGGAGCTTAGCCAAGGTCTACCATCCAGACGCCTCGGAATCGGACGGTCGGGATTTCATGGAGATCCATAAAGCTTACGCGACACTAGCGGATCCGACCACCAGAGCGATCTACGATTCCTCGCTTAGAACTCCACGGAGACGGGTACACGCTGGAGCTATGGGTCGCTCGGGTCGGGTTTACACGTCCACCCGGAGATGGGAGACGGATCAGTGTTGGTAGTTTTGTTGCGGAAAATGGCACTTTTTGACTTCTCCTTTTCCCCTTTTTTCCTTGTCACAATTTTTATTTTTCCCTGTTGGAAAATTAAAGAGGGGAAATTAAGTTGTTTTATCCGCCATTTCTGTAGTTTTTTTTTTTTTTTAACTTAAGATGTTAACAACAATGTATAAATGGAGATTATGAAAATAGAGAGAGAGAGAGAGAGAGACATGTATATTATATCCTTTTACTCTACTTTTACAAGGATACACGAAAAGTAATTAGACCAAGAGTAACTCCCAAAATAACTTTTTGAAAATATGCAACACCCACACAAAAGTGAGATTTGTGCTGTTTGTTTTAGTAAAGTTTTTTTTTTGAAATTATATTAATAATTGGGTGGAATACACGGTAGAATACAATCATATGCTGGCGAAAGACGAGATTTCTCCAAAGTCTAATGCACAGAAGAAGGAAGCAAGAAACAATACTAAAAAGCTTAAAAGGATAATAAGATAGAAGAAGAAATCATCCTATGCTAATCTTTATAACCTAGCAAGATAGAACCACACATAGTTTATCACACTTTCCTCGGATCGGGTTACGGCAACGTCGAAACAAGACTGACATTTCACACCAAAATATAAGCAAAACCAGAGGACCAGATATCTGGTTTTAGTAAAGTTAAGTGATGTTTTTCTCTTTAATTTATTTTAAAGACAAACTTTTTGTTTCAGCATAACTAAAAGATAGAATATTTTTCTACAGCAAGTTATAGAATATTAATAATGGTAAAGCACTGTTTGTTAGAATATGTTTGATCAATTTCGTTTTCTCTCTGAAAATAAAATACAGAATCAGTATACGTACGTGCCTGTGTTTTACAGAAACTGTGGCTGAAAAAGACGACAACAGTAAATAATTAGTGACAAACAAACACACCTGTGAATAATCCAAACAAATACAACATTTTTAAAAAATTAAAGCTTTCATCCAAACATAGATTTGGCTTTTGCATATGATCTTCTTGTGAATCAAGAGTCAATACTCAAAGAGTATACGTAATATATGAAACAAGCAGATTTTACATTTCAAAGGATGGATGGAAAAAGAAATACAAAATTCAAACCAAAACTGAAAGAGAAATAAAAAAAAAATCTAACAAACGTAGAGAGAGATACAAAGAAGAGTCGAGTGATTCTTGTATTCCTATGTTTTATATAAGCAACGAACAAGAAGAGAGATACAGAGAGATAGAGATATCACTTGCAGCCCATCAGCATGGAGTTTATGACGTGCATTATCAGTCTGATGGCTGAGACATCGCTCCCCGGTGCGTTTCGGTGATGGTGCAGAATCTGATAGACCTGTTCAAAGATTGGGCGAGCGTGAACTGCAATCATCTGATCTGATGGGTTTATGGCTGCCACCACATCAGTCATCCAACCAAGCTTACGAGATGTGTCCTTGCTTATGTCGCAGGCTAGCTGCTGCAGCAGCGAAAGAAGCACGCCTTGACTCAGCGGAAGTGGATTCATAGCCAATAGTCCACGAAGATCCACCTAATTTGCCACAACCAGTGTCATGAGATCTTATGTAAAAATGATGCTTACAAGATCTTATGATGCACGAAATACTAACAAAAATTTCACCTGAGAACAAAGCCATGATACTATAGAGACATCGCTTCTCTGTAGAGCAGAAGTGAAAGATTCTTCGTACTTGCGTTCAGATATCAACCTTGAAAGTTCAGTTGTTGGGTCCTTAGGTGCTTCAGCCTGGAAGAACATATGTTGCTATAGTCAAAACCCAGAAAATGACAAAATTAGGATTCTGATAAGATCCAGACATGGTGCTCTCTTTATTCAGTCTCCGATTCAATTACAAAGGATGAATAGAGAATAAACTGACGCCAAAAACCAAAGATATAACCCTAGGGTGAGCACCCTAAACTCTCCTAATCCCAAACCAAGATCCTAGACCAATCCCGAATGCTCAATTCTTCTGACTAAACTTCCCTTTTAGATGTTAGTTCTCTTCGCTAACTAACCGACTCAACTATGATTTCTGACCAGCTAGAATCCACTTCAAGCCACCAAGAGCAACTACAAGGCCCATCCACTAGACAAACGCAAGATTCATGGTTATCAATTAGTTCCAGAGATGTGCAAACCTTTTCAAGAAGAGCACCCAAAGGTCCGCCACTTAGTTGAGTAATCAAGGGATTTGACCCGCCAGAATTTGCTCCAGCAGCTGCGAGAGCTAGGAAATTCCTTTGGTTCTCGGCTAATTCACGACTTAAGGCTTGAGCAACTGATGATGCAGAAGTAATTGTTTCCTGTAGAATGAACAGCGTAAGAAAGATGGAAATAAATGACTGGATTTAACAACCATAACAGTGCCACAAGAAGAATGACTTTCCATCATACCCTTAAAGTATGAGCAAGCTGGGAGTGTCCAGAGTCAAGGCGTTGCTGGGCTGCATTTGTATGCTCAGCAATCCCTTTCTGGAAAGCTGAGTCCATTTGATCAAACATTGTCTTGCATGCCCTCTCAAAAGAAGGTATGACTGAGGACTCTAGACCCGACCTAAGCGCTTCCTGAAGTTTACAAATGGCAGAATATAAAAAGATCACCTCACTTTCCGTCAATCTATGATGCTGTTGAGACTTATAGACAGTACTGTAAAGTACCATAAGGTGAAACTCCAATTTACCTGGAGGGCTTGCCTGCCAGAGGTCTGAAATTGGGCTTGAATTTGCCTAGCTATTGTTGCTTCAAGCTTTAAATTAACAGATTTTTCAAGCTGATTAACTGCTTTGTCACCAATTCCTCTCTGTATAAAAGAGAAAGCAGGTTTTTTACAACAATGAACCTTTTCAAGAATTAGCTACACATTTGTAGTTAAAATCGAACCTGGAAGGACTCTGTGATTGCAGAAGATACAGTTTTTTCAATAACCGGTGTAACTGAACGTGCAAGGGCTGGACCAATTGCAGCAAGTTCCTTCTTTATCGTTTTCTCAAACATGGCATTTAACTCCTTGCTCATGAAGTTTGTTGTTGCACTCACAATTTGCTGTGAATGGTCACGCAATGCCTTTTCATTCTTAGCAGTCTCCTCTTGGAAGCGAGCCCATAGAGCATCAGCATTTGACTTGCTGGATTTCTCAATCATTCTCCCTAACGCCACTTCTAGTCTTTTACTTTCCTTTACGATAGGGCCAGTGACAGCATTTGATAGTTGTCTCTGCATCTCCTTCTGCGAAGCCATTATCTTGAAGCAAAATAAATCAAATATTGGTTTAAGTCAACAAATAATACAACAACAAAAATTACCAAGGTGCGTCTTAAGATGAAGCGATAACCTATCATCGATAACTGCCAGTTAGGTACGAAAACTGATTTTTGTTTTAAAATGAAGGAACTCTTGTGTGCCAAATCAAGGTAATAACAAATTTTATAGTGAATCACTGAATGATGTAAGAGTATAAATACAGATATTGTTAAGAATAGAGTACTAATTGGTTTCAAGATCAATATGTCACCTGATTCATGTTCTTGCATAGCTAGGAACTGAGGAAGTGGATCTGTCATGGGATGACTTAAGCTCTCACGTTGCTCATTGAAGGATTCAGCCAGATTTGAGGATGAAGATGACAGACTGGGACCCTGTGAATTTTTGGCCTTCTGCTTCTTCCCTTTGCTATTTGCAGCTGACGACTGTTGAAGCCCACTAGATGAACCCGACTCAGGAAGCTTTGCAGACACACCTCTCGTGTCAAGACCACTTTCATCTCCAGCCTGTATAGGTTCTCCATAAGCCTTAGATTCCCCTGGTATGAAAGTTCCTTCTGTACTAGGATAACAGTCTCTTGCCATCTGGGTGCTGAGATTTGAAACCTGTGAGCAGAAGACTTTTTCTCTATTTTCTGAAGTGCGATTCGCAGTTTCATCATTATCATTGGTTTCACCATTCTGTGTTGACCTTGTGTCACTTACTTCTTTCACCTCAACTTCTGCACCTCTTGCATCATTATTCACGTCCTGAAAATTATTTGCATCTCTATCTCTCCTGTCTTCATTGGTGGTGGAGGCTTCAGCAGACGAAACGCCCATCAATATCTCTGAAGGAGTTACAAGATGAGTGGGGTGTTTGAAAAAGGCTGCTGGGCTTCGCATCCCGGACAAATCATCATCAGGTGTAACATTTGGGTCCTTGCTTCTTGAATTTTCTTCTATGGATGACACATCACAACTACTTACTCCAACAGCATCCATTTGCCTATCAACAGAATAGTCAGCCGAAGGTGCTCTGCCACCAAGCTCATGATGAGGTGTTACTGGCTCAATAGCATCTACAGGACTGTGATAGCCAGAAAGTTTTCTTGATAGTCTGGGACTTAGAGGAAGTTTGGGTGACGTAGCATACGCAGAACCTGCACCACTGGTCTCAGATGGCAAGGCAGAAGTTTTTGGTTCACCGTTGGGTGGAACAATTGCTTGTGCTGTGGCTTCGGCGGATGTAAAACTCAACTTATTAGCACTTTCCGATCTATTCACTATAATAGAAGGTTTTGGCACTGAATCAACTGAAGGTAAGTCTGTAGGTTTCAGTCCAGATGGTTCTGACGTGCTTTCAACAAGGTTTGCCTCTCGCGATACATTAGAATCTGACTTCTCCAAACCCATATTCTCTACAGGTGGTGGCAAGCACAAGCTCAAGTCTAATGTATACTGCTGAATTGCTAGAGTCTGAACACAATAAACCTTAACAATGGGCTCTTCTGGAGGATCATTTGTCCCAATAAAACTCAATATGGGCATAGTGACTGTAAACTCTGACAGGTAATCCATCCGCGTTTCAACAGGGGAGTTACCATAGTCCAAATGCACAGCATATAAGGCGTTCCTTTTTGCGTTTGCAAGTAAAAGCAAGCCTGCTTCAGATAATGCTATGACTTGATTAAAAAATGCCTCTTCAGCCCGTGACTCAGTTGAACTTTTCAAGGCAAGTGTCTGAGTACACCTCCATGATTCAGAATCAGCTGGTAGAAGCCACCCTTCTTCTCCAGCAGAGACCCAGATTTTCATTTCTCGATTGAGAGGACCCTACGAGAAGAACATTCCGTCAGAGTCAGCAGCTTAGCAGAAAGGAAAGCTACAATCATAAATTGTATACTCAACACAGCAGTGCCAATAACATTAGATAGAGCTGAGAAAAGTAAATAATATTCATTCAAGAAAATTACCCCTGTGATAAGTATGATGTGATCAGGTCTCTCAGGAGA